AAAAAAAAAAAAAAAAAAAAAAAAAAGCCGCGATTGCGATCTGCGGCGGCAATTCGGCGGGAGGTCCTTCGCTCCGAGCGGGAGTGAGGGACCGTCCGCCGAATTGCTGCCGAATAGCTGGACGTGCCGCCCCTCTCCGCAGCGGCCGCCCCAAGCACCTGCTTGCCAGGCTGGTGCCTGGAGCCGGCCCTGTATGGACCCCCCCACACACACTGGGGGACCCTCGCTCTGCAGCAGGGTGAGCTAAGACCCCTTTGCTGGCGCTGAGGGGAGCTGAGAATAGACCAGAGTGGGCTCTGCCTCCCACTCCCCTTTGTAGGCCCGTGGGGGGTTGGAGACTCCTGCACTCAGCGCACTCCGGGAGCGGGCCGGGGCAGGCGGGAGCTCTGAGGGCATTGTTCACGGCTGGCTGCCCAGGCGGACCTGGCATTGTGCGTGTCCGCTGTGCCGTGCACGGCTCCCTGCCGCCCCGTCGCCTCCAATCGCTCTCTGCGGTGCCCACCCCCAGGAGTCACTCCTCCCCCCTCCCTCTGTCCCTCCCCTTCCCCCGCTCCCAGTTTGAAGGGGCCGCCAGGAGTGCAAAAGGCACCGGAGCGGGCGGCGTCGGACTCGGGGAGCCCCCACCACCCCCTGCCCAGGGCACCGTGCTGCAGTTCTTCACCCGCCTGCGGCGTCACGCCAGCCTCGAGGGCGCCAGCCCCTACTTCAAGATCAAGAAGTGGAAGATTGAGAGCAACCAGCGGGCGTCCAGCCTGGACACCAGAGGTAGGTGCCCCCCCCCCCCCCCCCCCAATCCTCGCGGGAGTGAGGGTCAGTCCTGGACCCCGGTGGTAGGGGCCACCCATCCCCCCACCTAGTTGAATCCAAACTCAGTGGCCACTCAGGGGCCCTGATGAGCCTTTGGCTTCTCCCCGGCGGCTGCCAGCCACAGGGGCCGGCGGTCCCAGTGTCAGGGGTGCTCGTTTCTGTGCCTCATGTGCCGGTCTGCCCAGCTCCCATCCCCTGGCACCCCATGGGAACGGCTCCCGGTCACTGCCAGGTGGTTCTGTCTAAGGCCACCTCCGCTGTCGGGAGTGGATCCCACAGCCCAGCTGGGTCCCTGGCACATTATTGAAGGCGAGTGAACAAGCCGCAGGAGATCAGCCCTGTCCAGAGGGGTCAGAGTGGTTAGCCTGGGCAGGGTCCGTTACCCAGCATGCCCAGGGGGCGAACCCCATATTTGCCACGGGAGGTGCTCGGGGTGGGGGCTGTAGGATTAGAGCAGTGAGGTGATCCCTGGAAATGGCCAACGAACGCAGCAAAAATGACCCAGAGCCCATTTTGCCTTGTAATTACGTCCCTCCTGCTTCTGCCTCCACCCCCCAGCCCCTCCCCTCTCCTGGTGCTCCCCCCTAACATCCCCCCCTTGCCTTTGCCTGCCTTTCAGGCTCACCCAAGCGGCGTCAGTTCCAGAGGCAGCGGGCGGCGAGCGAGAGCATGGAGCAGGAGGACAGAGACGCCCATCAGACGGGCATCATCCAGTACATTGCCCGGACAGATGACATAGCCTTCCGCCCCATGGCTGGGCCCTTCCTGCCATCCCCCTCCAGCCCCCCACCCTCTCTCGGCAGGTATTTTTCAGTAGATAGAGGGGATAGGGATGGCTGGGGCAGGGGGCACTAGCCCAGGGGGTGGGATGGATGGTCTCATTCCCAGATGTCAATGTCCACCCCCAGGAAACCAGGTCATAGGCGGAGAGAGATTTCAGTCCCCATTCACACTTCCCTTTGGAAGGGCCCTCTCATAGGGCGCTCCTGCCCCCCCACTTCAGGCATCCTCTGGCATGACAGGAGCGCCTGCCTCCATTTCCCCTCATTTCAGCCGTACCAAGCACACAGTCTCTCAACGTCCCATGCAAAGTTGCACCCCTGGGCGTATTTTATTGACAGGCACGTACAATCGTCCGGAGAGTGCTCACTGTGAAACCGCTCTCCCAGTTCCCACAGTAAAGCAGAGGAAGGTACTGCAAAAAGGGGGGGGAGGAATAGCTCAGTGGTTTGAGCATTGGCCTGCTAAACCCGGGGTTGTGAGTTCAATCCTTGAGGGGGCCATTTAGGGAACTGGGGTAAAAATCTGTCTGGGGATTGGTCCTGCTTTGAGCAGGGGGCTGGACTAGATACCTCCTGAGGTCCCTTCCAACCCTAATATTCTATGCTTTTCCACACACCCTCTCCAGGGCCATCACTTCCAGGTTCCCCCACCCGGGAGTCCCCCAGCGCTCGGTGCCCGGTTCCTCTCTGCCCTGGTTCCAGAGCCCCCCGCCCCTCCCTGCAACCCATCCCCCTCAGAGTGACCAATCTCATGACTCCTTGCCAGCCCCCTGGCTCTGATTCTGTAGCAGGCCAGCCCCTCTGCTGGACGCCTCCCCCTTTGCTGTGCTCCTCCCATCTGCCCATGCCTGCCTCTGGGTCTCTCCCTTTGCATGGCCCACCTGGTGCACTGGCCTCTTATTTCTTCAAGGGCCAGAGTCGCCCCATGACAGGCCCCCCCCCGTAGGTCTGGGGGTGAGGCCCCCAATCCACCCAGAGAGACCTGGAATTCTTCCTCAACAGCTCTGGGGCAGCAGCTGCCTGGGAGGTGTCATTCTGGGGGCAGGGCAGGGGAACGGGCTTGGCAAGGAAAGGGACGCTGGCGCCGGACACCCACCCTCCCTGCGGGGTGACTGCCCCCTGGTGCTCTTAGTGCCATCAGGACCACACAGGGCAGAGATGGTCACTCCCTTTGCCCAGCTGTACATGTTGGCACATGGAGCTGCGTAGCGGAGAGTCAGTCCTGCCCCAGGCGTGGGATTGGGGCTGTCTCCTGCTACACCTAAACCCCAGGGTCAGCTGGAGAGATACCCAGGGCAACCTTTATCCTCTGCCTAGGCCTGGACGGGGCAGCAGGGTCAGAGAGGGAGGGGATGCTGAGGGGGGAAGGCGGGGTGGGGGAGATGGGGATGGGGCAGAGAGGAGGGGGGCTGGTAGTGGGTGTGTGGGGACCAAGAGGGGTGGGAATTTCTGGTTGCAAGGACTTGCAGTTGGATTGTAAGAAATGAAAATGTCCCTGTCACGTGCCAGGCTGGTGCCAGCCCAATGCTGGTCCAGCGCCTGCCTGCTGCTTCCCAGGGCAGCCCCTCTGCCCTGCCTGTGCTATAACACTAGTGGGTTCTGCCCCCAGGTTAGAGCCAGCAGAGGCGGGCGGGGGCAGCGTCCCCGAGGCGCCCAGCACGGAGCAGCAGACCATCTACCACGACATCTGGAGCCTGCGGGCCTCCCTGGAGCTGTATGCCTCGTCCGAGCAGAGCAACGACCGGGACTCCGTGCGCAGCGATGGGGGCGACAGCGTCTGCTCGGCCGGGGGCGGCATCCCCGGCTTCCCCTCTTCCCTGGAGGAAGCCGAGGGCCTGGACGAGCGGCCGTGGGCCCGGCCCAGGCAGGAGAGCGCGGAAGCAGAGCCGGGCACACGCAAGCTGCTGCAGATGGACAGCGGCTACGCCTCCATCGAGGCGCCGAGCCGGGCGGGTGAGGACGGGCGCCCCAAGGACCAGACGGCCTCAGAGAAGCGCATCTGCTTCACCAGCGCTGGGCGCAAGGGCACCATCTTCGAGAGCTTCGAGGGGCACGAGCCTGAGGAAGAGGAGGAGGAAGAGGGGGCGGTGGGGGGGCCGCTGCCCCACAGCCCCCTGGCCTGGTCCCCCTATGGGCAGATGTTCCCAGCCCGGGACGCGCTGCCCCGGCGGGACTACAGCATCGACGAGAAGACGGACGCCCTCTTCAACGCCTTCGTCCGTCACGACCCGCAGTTCGACGACTCGCCCCTGCGTGCCAAGCACCGCTCCCGCACTCACCTGCGCAAGCAGTGGCAGCGCTCCAAACAGTACAGCGACCCCGGCGTGCGCTACCCACCCGCCCTGGAGCGCCACCGGACCCCGCTGCGCCGGGGAGACAGCCTCAACTACCCACCGGACAGCCGCTACCACGGCACCCTGCCCCGCATCGTCCGCGCCGAGGAGGCGGGCGAGGCCGGGGACGGCTCCGCCGTGGCGGACGCCGACGCCAAGATCCAGGTGATAGAGGAGGAACCGTCCGAACTGGCTGGAGACCCCAAGCTGGCTTCCGATCCCTACGACGAAGACTGCCCTGGCAATGGCCATGGCCCGGGCTGCGGCCCCCAGCCCCTAGGGGCTGAGCTGATGGACAAGATCATGGGGGGCCTCGAGGACAGGCTGTACGGGCACTTGAGAAAATCGAGAGAGAGTCCGGAGTGTCTGGTGGCCGTGGCCTCTCCCGACCACAGCCCCGTCTAAGGGGCGGGGGAGCGGACCGAGCTCACTCATCCACTGAGTCAGGCTTCAGGGCTTCAACCCCTTCCACAGCTGGCACTGCCACCACGTTCAGGGCGTTCGAAGGGCGGCAGGGGGGTGCGGATCTGCCTGGACAGACGTGCCCCGTTCGAGGGGATCGGGCTCTGTCCGGACGTTCCCGTCACCTTGGAATGGTCCAGGGCAGGGGGCAGGCTCAGCCCGCCCTGTTTGAGTCTGGAGTGGGGGGTCCACTTGGATGTACCCACTGCATTCAAGGGCTTTGAGGGGCGCAGATCTGTACAGAGGTACCCGCCACGTGGGCGGGGTCCAGGGGGGCACAGATCCACCCAGATGTACCCACCCCAGGGTCCTGGGGGGCACAGATCCACCCAGACACACCTGCAATGTGGGTGGGTTCCAGGGGGCACAGATCCTCCCAGACCCACCTGCCCCATGGGTGGGGTCCAGGGGGGGATCCCCGGTGAAGCAGCCCCTACCCCCAGGCAGGCCTGGCAGCCGGAAGGGGTTGTTACGGAGGGGAGGAATGTTTGCCAAAGCAGGCGACTGTTTTTAAGGCACCTGTATTAATAACCCCCGAAACTCTTACCTCACGCCGTAGAGCTGTGTAGCACATACAACCCCCCCCCCCCAATCCTGGGGCACGGCCCCCTCCCCTGCACACCCCACGCTCCCCACCCTCCTCTCTCTCTCTCTGATTTTTTACAAGCAATAACGTCTCTGTCCGGAATCGTCCTCGCAAAGAAGGGACCGGGGCTGGGATCCGCGGTGCTGGGAGTGGAGGGGGAGGAGAGATGGGCCAAGCCCCCCCGGAGCTGGCGGCCTCCCCCTCCTTTTGATTTTGTCCACACTGAAGGAGGGGGAGGGCAGCTCCGAAATTGCTCCTGGAGGGAGGAGTCGCTGGGGGCAGCAAAGCGGGGGGGGGGGGGGGGGAGTTTGAGGGCTGGGAAAGCTGCTGCCCCCCCTTGTGCCAGTCACTTCCCTCCTCCCACCCTGGGGGAAACCTCGAGCCAGGGCAGGGCTCGTGGGCTCTAAGCTGGATGCTCTGGTGCTAGGACCTACGGGAAAGGGGGCACATGGAGCCGCTGGAGAGGGGCCCAGGGGGTGATGGTCCATAGGGGAGGAAAGGGGGAGTGAAGCTGAGGCTTCCAAGCGGACAGGCCCTTCAGCAACTGCTGCTAGAAAAATCTCGTTCTCCAGGTGCCAAATTGAGGGTGGGCCGGATACCCACACAGTGCCATGGGGGGGGCAGGAGAGGGCAGGAACTAGAGCCTATCCCAGATGTCACTGCTTCCTGGGGGAGGGGGGAATGCTTGCTCCCCATTCCCCCCAAAACTAACCGGCTCCCCCTTTCTCCCTCCCTAAATTACTGGGCCCAAATGGGAGAGGGGCCTGGATCTAGCATGTCTCGGGGCGGGGGGGGGGGGGGGGGCGGCTGGGGCAAAGGGGGAGGCAGATCTCCCAACTCCCCTCCCCCCCCCCACCACCCCCTTCCCGAAAGACCGCCCCCCCCCCTCCTCCTCCTTCAGCCCCCCCCCCCCCCCCGTTCTCCCCCAGGGAGCAAAGCAATGGGCTTTATTTATTATTTATTGATTTTTATAGAATTGGATGGATTTGCTGCTCCACAGGGGGCGGGTTCAGCTTTTTATTGAGTTTTGTTCATGTCTCAAAGGATAAGAAGCAAAAAGCTTTATTATCCGTAAGACTCGGTCAGCGCAGGGGAGGGGGAGGGGCGGGGGGGGAGGAGATGCCAGCCACACGTATCCCCCCCACCTTGGTGCTCTCGTCACCCCCGTTCCCGGCTGCGCTTCGACCTTTGCATGCGATCAAAGAGGCCGGGTCGTTCCTCTGCAGAGTCTGTCCAAAGCACTAACATGAAACCACAACTCAGCCTTTTTAAACCTATAAAGAAAGACCAAGTGTCGAGAGTTTGCTGCGCTTTGTTATTGCCTAAGCGCCTTCCTTCAGCCCCCCAGACGTGGCCAGGGCCAGCCCCTCGTTGGGCCAGGGGTGGGATTGGTTTTTCCAGAGTTTATTGTAAATGACACGGCCCATGCTCCAGTGGCCTCCCGGGCAGCGCGAGGGGCACCAGACGGGCTCCCAGGGCAGGGAGCTGAGGGCAGAGGAATTCTAGCTAGGACTAAAGTGCCAGGTTTTGACAGCAAGGAGAGTGAGTCTTGCCTGGGGCAACTTCCCCAGGGCTGGGGGCCCTGGAACTTTCCAGCCTGGAGGGTCCATTTGCTCTTGCTGTCATTTACCCCACTACTAAGGGGGGGGAGGGGCCTGTTCTGCTCTGGGCATGCCCCAGTGCCCTGGGGTGAATGATGGCACTGCAACTCTAGCCCTAAACCCGAGGGGAGGACGCCTTCTGAAAGACCCATTTTAGTCCAACCCCAAATTCCTGGGCCAGAAGCAGGACCCTGGCCTATGCTCGGGTTCAGACTGGATGAGCACCCCAGGCCCTTCCAGCCCGCAGAAACTAGGACTTGCACGTCCCCTCTCCCCTGCGACCCCTTCCAGAGCAGAAAACACCAGCATTGGAAGCCATTCCTGCAGGCAGCTTCTGCTCCTGCAATGGGGGCCCGGGAGCACAAGGCCTCTGCACGGGCTGAACCTGCCTTTCTACGGACGACCCCTCCTAGCAGAGCCCGTTCTGACTGCTGGAACGGAGCCCAGCGAGGCTCAGGGGCTGACAGCTCCTTCCAGGGCTGGCGGTGAACGCTGGGCCCTCCCCTGTGGGCCTAGGAGGGGTTGGGCCCAGCTCCCCGGGGCTGGGGAAGGGGCTGCCCTCTCCAAGAAGCTGGCAACTGGTGAGCACCACAGGAGGAGATAGATGGGCAGGGCCCACCCAGCACTAGCCGTGCAGCCGCTGAGGGAAGCTGGAGGGTGGGGACAGGACTCAGCAAAGGCACCGGAAGCCTAAATTCATCCAATGCATGGAGAGATCTCCTCCTCCAGGAGGATGGAGGACGACACAGGCCGCCAGAACCTGCAGAGAATTGGGGGGGGGGGGGGGGGGCGGCGAACGACGACTATTTACAGTGCGCTAGACCAGGGGTTCTCAAAGGTCATTGCACCACAACCCCCTTCTTACAACAAAAATTACTGCATGACCCCAGGCGGGGGGACCGGAGCCTGAGCCCACCCAAGTCCCGCTGAGAGGGCCAAAGGCTGCCCCGGGCAGGGGGGTGCACGAATGCCAAAGCCTGGGGCCGACGCCCCAGGGGGTGGAGCTTGGACGTCAGCCCCAGTAGGTCTAAAGGCCAGCCCTGGCGACCCCCTGAAAACGGGGTTGTGACCCCCCGTTTGAGAACCGCTGCGCTAGACCCAGCGGCAGGCCCAGCGGGCAAGGCGCGGGATAGACGAGCAGGATTCCTGCGAAGAGCAAGTACAGGGAAGGCCAGGCCCAGCTGCTGTGGCAAAGGCTGATTTCAGGGACCAGCTGCCCTGCTACCCCATCCCTTATATGGGGACAGCCCTAGGCCCTCAAGGATTCAGCAGCACCACTGGCCCCTGCCCCCTACAGCTGGCTCAGGGCAGCTTTGGCATCAAGAGCAGCCGCAGGGTGTTCCCTTTGCCTCCAAGTGTCCAGTGGGGTGCGTTCTGCTTGAGGAGCTCGGGCTGAGCTGGGGGGCCCCCCTGCCACAGCCACCCCAGCACAGACCCAGCCTTAGCCTTGTGCTACAGGCTTTTCCACTAAGGAGGAAGCCAGAGAGGAGAGATTCGTCTCTACTCCGGCTCAGGCCTGGACTCTCCCTGGCCTGGCAGGAAGCAGAGAGCTCCTGAGCGGGGTGGTGCCGGAGACATCCTGTGCATTTGGGGACCAAACAAGGGCAATGCTAGATCTTAGGGGGAAGTCAATGCTCCACCTCCTGAGTCTCTGCCCATGCCACTCAAATCCCGTCCATCTATTCCCTCGGCCCCCTTGCTCAGCTCTGGTGGCAGCAAACTGGGCGCGGCTGCTGCAGTGGGGGAAGGAGCCCAGCCCAGAATGGCACCACCGAAGGCAGGAGCGGGGTGGGGTGGGTGGGTTGTGCCATTGAGAAATGCCTTCCCTACCTCGGGAAACCCCAGAGCTCCCAAGCTCTCCCTGTGCTAGCCCCTCGGGCCCCCAGCCGTCCCAGCACTGGGAACAGAATTCAGGAGACCCCGCTCCTCCACCCGCAGATAGACCAGCGAGCAGTGGCCACCCCAGCCTATGCAGGCAGGACAGCTGGGTCTGCTGCCAGCAGCTGCCTGCAGCAGGACGACCAGGAGAGCCACCTCGCAAGATTGGTTTATTTTCTTATAAAAAAAAATAAAATAAAATAAAAAATACTACTACTAAAAGAAAAGACGCCGCCGAGCGCAGTCCAGTCCCCCTCCCAAGCCCTGGGCAGCATGCAGTTCTTGGATGGTCTCACTACCTGGTTTTTTTCCTCGTCGGGTTTATTTTAAACACATCACGATGTGTAGGAATCTCTAAATATACCGCAAATATAAACAAAACAAAAAAAACTGAGGAAAATATATATATATGTATATCTAGAACAGTAGTCTAAAACATAAAGTGCACAGCCATGGCTTTACACAATTCTACTCAGCGAGGGTGGGCGGGGGGGTCGCCCCCAAGCCCAGTGGGGGGGGAGACCTCCACCCAGGCCCTCCCCCACCCACCTCACCCTCCAGATCCCAAATTAAAACAGAGGTGGTGTCTTGATTGGCAAAGAGTTGATGCAGAGGAGGGGCCAGCATGGGCGTAGCTGGGGAGAGAGATGGGGGGCAGTCGAGGGCTCCTGCCGGCTTCGGGGGCCTGGCGCCGCTGAGAGAGGGTTTGGGAGAGGGAGGGGCGGGCGGTTCTGTTTTCCTCCAGGGTTTCTCTTTTTGGATTGCAAGCATAGTCCGCTCCCAGGAGAGACGGAGCTGGGGCGTAGGCTGGCCCAGGCTCCAAGACAGGCTCTGGGGAAGAGAGGAGACAATGTTAGAGGTGGATGGTACATGGGCAGCAGGCTGGTGGCACATGTCTGATTTTCCCCCAGAGCGGCTCTGGCCTGGTTCCAAGCCCAGGGGGAATGGCACCGCTGGTGACTG